AAAACATGAATGTCGTCAGTTGAAATTCATAGGCAAGTCCAAAGCGTGGTATATTCGGTTTCTTTTGCAAGGTGTCCGTCCTGCGCGCGAATGAACAAAACGGGATCCAGTTCCCTCAGATTTGCTTTCATATTTGGACAGCTGCAAGTGATCCCCGTTACAATAGTAATTCAATTGGATGTATTTGTAATGCGATTGTCCTAAGGCCGCAAATCTTTCAAAGACCGACTTTCGCGTAATGTTTACAACATCGAACTTACACCTACCCCTATATCAAGTTACCACGTGTAGGCGACATTCACAATCAGAGAAAAATGGTGATTGTTAGGTACTGGATCAAAGCGCACTCTGGACTGTACTCCTCTTTGGATTTTTTTTCACCAAAACTTTCCTCTCTGCATGATTTTGAAACCGCAGGCTTTGCTAATTGGGATCATTTGGCTAAATGTGGATTTTGTTTCTTCATAATAACTTGCCATCAGTAATCATTATAGACATATGTAATTTTTTTTTTAATTTATCAAAATTATTTCGGTCAAAATAACAGACATTAAGAGAAATTCCGGTCAAAACTTGAGTAGGCTAAGCGGTTGTAATGTGATGTTAACAACAGCACACTTTTGTTAACGGTTAAATAGTTTGCATGTCATACAGTTTGGATCATATTTGAGTTTAATTTGATTTCTTGATCGTTTATATGTGATGATATCAGAAACAACCTAATTCGATGAATGTTGTGAATAATACTAAAATGTTATGTGGAATAATGCCAAGTGTATCAATAATACTTGTTACTCTTTAAAAAAAATAATAATAACTACATGTATTTGAGTTAACTACACTAATATTTCCTCCAACAAAATAGGCCAAGACTGTAGCTCAAAAGTCTGGTGATTTTCCAGGGGGGAATAAACAAGTAGGGACTGCAAATCAAGTAAAACCTGAAAACCGACATCTGTGAGAATAGAACCCGGGTCATAAAGGTTGAAGACGAGGAAAATACCACTTCGAAATATTAACTCCGAAACTGTTTTTTCCCCTGGCTGTTTTTCTTTTGTAGGTGGTGTGAAAGTCTGGACTTGGTTGGTACGGTGGATTTGCCAGCGCCTATTGACGGGCCAGACTTGGTGAGATGAGCTGAGAACCCAAGTATGATTCCCAAAACCCAAGAGATGAAGCCGCGAGCGGCAAGCAGGACCGTTTACTCCACCTGATAATTGCTGTATGGCACGCCTACGTCGGCAAGTAACATCTTGGTTGTGATCCTGAATTCGAGTTGGGAAATTAAAGTTATATCAGTGAAAACCGATGGTACAAGAAGCACTCTTGTAGAAAAGGCTCACCAACATGCACAAAATACATTTTCTATAGTGATTTGGAAAACAATCGCCAAGGAAAATTGATGGTTCTACATTTCATGGTTTAAAAGCTAAGGAATACCGCTGGTCTCATTCGCGGTCACAAGATAAAGCCTCAAACGAGAAGGAAAACCGCATTGCACGGTAACTTCTCCGAATGTTTTATAACCGTGTTTAGACGTAAACGGTTAGTTGTGTAATAAAAAAAACTCAGTCTTCAGCTTGACACGCATCTTACGATAGGCATCTGAACGCCAGATTGCAAATCGGGATAAAAACCGCAAATTTTCCCACTGGATTTTTATTTTTTTGCGCGATATGGCCGGCCATATCGCCCACGCATGCTCGTCACCTTCATCTCAAACTTTAGAACCAATTCCCAGAACACAACAAAATAATCTGATTTATTCTATTTTGCCATATCATTCAAAAGAGGCATAGTTGATTTCCCTTGACATTACCTTTCTAAGGGAGACTGTATCCGAATGGCAAGATATGAATTGAAGCGAAGGACTCTAGACCGAACATGATACGACGCGCAAACTTGCTACTGCAGACTCGACGAGTACAAAAACATACCCTAGAGATTGCATAGTGCAGCGGCAGTGCTCAACTAATGGAGTTCGGTGAAACTCCTGATAAAAGGGTGGTTTGTATCTTGTATGTGCAACTTCATCAACGAAAAAGCCACCCATCCCTTTCGAGATGAGTTCGGGCAGGTGACATTAGCAAGCAAGAATGTGAAAAGGTCATCACCTTGAAAAAAGGATTAGGGCACTTTTTCAATGTAAATGTTGTTTTCTAGGATTCATACACCCACTGAACAAACACCTGTGACCGGGCTATCGCAATGTATATCTAAGAAACAGGTCGATGGCTTTAGCTGATGTAGGACAAGGGAGTTTTAAGGCCGAAGAGCATCCCGTTCTTTGTTATTGATTCTGGGAAGATTGTTTTATTTTATCTTGCCTACTGTTGAAGTTAAATAACATAATTGTTATCGAAATGAAGATACAGCACATTTGAGACGAATGATAAAGCTGGTGGCATATTGCTTAATCTTGTATTTCTTAGATATACTTGTATAGGCATATGATTAATTTTCGCATAGACTTTTCCCGCAAACTCTTTTATGTTTTTTTCGCCAAGGGTGACTAATTAGCAGATTAGCCAGCTTCAGGTTTCAATTCCCAGCCGGTTAATGTTCAGGTGAGAAAAAAACATATCCATTGCGTTAGAATGTCAAATTGGTAACAATGTCTGGAAATGATTGTGTGGCGTGGAAATAACAAGTCTGTGTGTAATACAGGACCATTTCAATAATGTGTATGTTTGATTAAACTAAAATACTTACATTAAAAGCTTTAAAGTTAGCAGGGCCTGACTTTAAATGTCCAACCGAACTGAAGGCAAACGTGGACGATTCTTGGCCTAATAAATTGGTTTGATTGTCGCATGAATTTTATTTTGGTATATTTATGACTGTGTCTGTTTCTTCAATACATTTTTAATAACATACGACGTAAAGGTAATCATAAATCATATAAACGCTAATCCGTATTATAATATAAGCTGTTCCCCCGTCCAAATAAAGAGCTCTTACCCAAACGAGACAATCAATTTTAAGGACGTAAAGCTCATGAAATATTCAAGTTGAATGCGTGCTGCACTTTGCAGAGTCGTTCCTCGGTGGAAGTCGACGATTATGGCCGGGGAGGGGCATTGTAAAAGCACGATTACTTATTCATCTGTTAGAAGCCCGGGTAATAATAGAGTATGATAATGGAAATGATATGACAAACCAACAGCTCACTTTTTCAAAAAAAAGTTTGAAAATTCAGAAAGAATGTCCTTTCACTGGTCCAAGGGATGGTAAATATTGTTAAAGATTTAGATCGGGTTTTTGATGCAGCCATTTTGACGCTTAAGTAACAATTTAGACCGGTGGTTATGAGACTTATATTTGTTTTAATTATCCTTTAATGCATCCATCATAATAACCATTAAACCTACAATTCAGATAACGGGGGTTATTATTACCACAGTCTGCCAACATCATCGCCACAAATAGTATACCAATACATTTACTAGCAATACTGCACTGTCACAATCACCAAAACCCAAATGTCATTACAGTTATTGGGTCGGGTTAGGGTTACATCTCCTGACCACCAATTTCATCAACTTTGCCCATTTCCAAAGCCAACATCCCTATAACCAACACCAACACCACAATTATCATTACCATCAACGACTCCAGTTCAAATACAAACTGCATCATCACAAAAAAATAAACAGCCTCTTCCAAACCTGAGTCTGTGCCGGTACCGATATCATATGAAATTTGGACTCGATGTCATATGATGTTGGGACGCTTACAACATCTGGTCTTGTTGACCTTATCATGGACGCCAACCCTTACACGTGACCTGCTACTGTCATGTATGTTCACTATGGCATACGCAATACAACTAATGAATTCGTGAGTCCAAATTTCAAACTACACCGGGCAATGTAGGATATGACGATACGGTCTTTTTGTATTTCACATCAAATAGTACACGAATTTCGATGTCGTAAGCACATTTGTAGCAGGTAGCGTGTTAAGAAATTAAATTTACAGCCCACTTGTCTTTGGCGTAAGAGAGGGCATGAGGCCAAGTCACAGCGTGTTGCCTTTGACGCCTCTGCTTCAACAGCTCCTTCATATAATTATGTTTCTTTAATCAAGTGCAAAAAAATACGTTATGCTTGGAGAGAGAAAGCCACACGGCATGGCCAAGAACAGTGCACGTACAAAATTACACGACGTTATTTCTTTGTTCCCCTGAGTATATAAAACCGCTTGCTGCTCTAGGGTGTCAAATTCATCCAACAGCAAACGACGTTTTTGATGTTTTGTGAAACCCGCTTTTCTTTATGTTCTTGGAATTTGATTAGCCATCTCAATTTGGAAGTTGTAAGTGTACAAGGGCTCAGATTTATTTTGTACCGGCCCCTTTCGTCTGTGATTTTTCAGCATTATGAAAGAACGTGCACTTCTTTTTAGGTATAAACCTCTCCACTTTTTGAGCTCAATATCCCTTTCGAGTTCATCGTCTTCTAGGAGCAGCAACTCAGACGATTGCTTTTCTTTACCGCAGTATTAAGTGCCCCAAACAAGACTTTTCTTAAAGTTACAAGGATAGCAAGATATAAAACAAAATCATTATTCCAAGATGGTGTCGTGTTTCAGAAAATGACTTTTGGGATTTCAGAAAGATGAAACTCCGGAAGAGCCAGTGCCTTGCATCAACACTTAATGCAAAGGCGCAACTTTGTTTTTGGTATGACTCTTTGATATACCATTAGTGAAATACACCCTAAGGATATGGAAAAGGTAGCGATGCTGTTTATTGCTTTCTATTGACACAAAATTCCCAAGATCGCTTTTCAATTGTTTCCCATGCCTCGTGAGAATGGTATAAGAGCCTTCAATTCGAAGCTGACGAGATTCCCCGCCCAATCCTTGCCTAATTCGACGGCTATTTCATGTTTTCAGAGGCTACTGGGAACACACGGGAAATTGTTTCAAGAATTGTGTACGCGTAAAGGGCAGGTGAAGAGCTGTCAGCCACCCAACCATTTCCGTGGAAGCATTTGGTGGGTTAAAAAGCCGATACACAGGCTTTCTGTTGCTAAGAACCGGAGTGAAATGCTAAATGTAACAATAGCAGGTGCTTACATCAAAGGCCTTCGGTATACAGTAAATTAGGTTGATCGCCCGTCAGTCGCGAGTAGCAGGTATGATTATTTGATGACATTGTTATAATGTGGTGTGGGTTTTCGGCTGATGATGCGGCAATAATTCTCCGTATTCGTCAGGGCTCGGTGTGTGTGGTTTCGCTGTCAGATACGCAATGGTATGGAGTCATGTAGTGGGCGGATTACTTTCTCATTCTAATTGAATGCCGTTCATGATAAAAGCGATCACTCCTGGCTACCGTCTCAGCATTCGTTCAGTGCATTCACCCGGTTGCTCATCGTACTTTTTCGTTGCTTCACTTTGAGTGCAAAAACAATCTCAAGACTTTTCAGCACTTCCAAATTGCCATCGGAATCCTCTGGTGTTCGGGGAGAAACGCTATTGCTGCAGAAGAAAATTGTACCGGTAAGTCAAAAAAATGACATTCCATAATAAACAATCCCTGACATTCGTGTGAACAAAAGTGAAGTTTTCGACAAACAGCTCGTATTCCCAAAAATGAGATTATTTCCAAAAATGAGATCTAATGATGGAGCTTAGTTAGCCAAAAAACCTTGCTCGAACTGTTTCGCAAGCTCTATCTTGAAAACCTTCAGATTATTAACGAAAAATTAACATTATTGGTATAAATAATGTTCGTATTGTGATGACATACATTTAGCTTTGTAAAGGAAAGACAATTTGTTGCCCATTATATTCCGTTAATTTCAATTGTTCATTATTATGATTATGATGTTTGAAAATAAATCAAATCAAAAGAATACACACACTCTTTCCTCAATTTACAAAATTTTAATAGTGAAAAAAAAAACTACATCACTACAGTAGGCCTATAAACACGATTATGTGTACGATAAATAAATGGACGTGCTTGTGATTTTGAGAATGCAGACCTCGTTTTGCATTTGGGAGCATGCGCAGTGGGTCCTCTTTCATTGAGTGACGTTTCCTGTCTTTCGGCCTCGGGCCAATAAATATGTGTTCAAACCCAATGACAACCGAAGCGTTAAGATGCATTGAAATGTGATTAAAATCCAATTTGGGTCCAGTGCGTTCAGTCAAGCGAGTGGTCCACTTCTGTATGAAAATAATTATACATTGGACAAATATACTTCGGCAAAACAGCGGGCTTGGGGTTGCAGGCAGAAAGAGGGAATCTCGAAAGGGTCAGGGCAAAGAAATTAAGATGCTGGAAAAGATGTACTTTGATCAAAACAGCAAAGCATTGTCTTCTTAAAGTCAAAATACTTCAAATGTGTATGTAGCCATAAACTCATGAACACTTATTTTGACTTTGTCTTGTAGTTTGGTTTCTAAACAAAGAGAAATATACATCTATTATACATATACGTTTTCCATGAAGCACAGCGAAATAGGTCCCGCCCCCACCCGATATTTTCGATGGACAAGGGGAATTTTACAAAAGCCCTGTGACGCCCGTCCTTAGACTGTACAAAAATAGCACTCTTCCCCAACCTCCACGATTCGCACTAATGAAAAGGAATCGACGCGCCTGGCCGCTGTTTTTGTTTTCTTTTCGCTTCAAGTTCGTCTGGCAATCCTTTGACGTTAAAAGGAGACAAACAACAACTTGTTGAGTACCCTTTTTATCAATGTTTCCGGATTCCTGTTTGTCTGCTGGCGCGACGTTTGTCAGAGCCAATTGATATGTGTGTGTCCTGACGTAAGCCAAGAAAGGCTCGAAATGTTTTTGCAGTTGTGCAGATCTTGATTTCCCGCGCGTCTTTGCTTTGGTGACTTTCTGCACTGTAATCAGATGCTGCTTTTGAAGCAAAATATTATGGACAAAGTGCGTCGGCAAAATATAGGAAACCGCTGACGGAAAATGTTACCCAAATTTCAAAGAAGCTTCAAACAGTAACCGCATTGACAGAACAAATCGGAAACGTGTTTCAAAATCTGTTGTATCGTCTGTCGGAAAGAAACCGTAAGTGGCCAGTGACATCCCTTTCGCGTGCGGGCCTAGTTTAGCTACCAAGACATATGATGAGTACAAGTAGTACACAGGGGGTTTTGACTTGAAGAAAGAGGGCGGAAACTCGCCCCAGACCACCTGTCTCTGTGTTTCATGTAATTACATTCAAAAGGCGCTAGCGCATGAACGCTGTTCCTATGTGCCCAAATCGACACGCTAGATTACTTCACATTCATGTCCGTTGCTCATCCTTCACATGCTGAGACATTATGAATTATGAAACAGGGGAAAAAGTAGATCTACGTAGCACAGTCAAACTACGTATTGGTTTCTCTGGTTCCCAACTGACTGAAAGTCTGGTCGCAACAGAAACGCACATCGTTTTAGCTCTCACCAAGATCCTCATTAACGATACACATTCCAGTCTTTAATAATCCTGACTAAATGTAGAGCTATCTTTATGTTACTGTTTTTTAAGGGGATGTTTAATTTACAATCCTCTCACAAGCATTTCACCCGTTTAAGTTACATTTACATTAATGTCCCGTTATTTGAAATCTCAAAGTTCAAAAAAGTATCTTTACAAAACATTAACATGTCTATTGATAATAGAATGTGAAAAGCGTTTAAGTTATAGAAAATGTTTATGCTGACCTTTAGTTGACAGATTTCTTGCGAGCAGAATTTCGTTTAATCCGATCAGTAAGATCTCCTTAACACCCCGTGTTAACAAGCTGTAGACGTCTAGACATAATGTAATTGTAAAGAGCCATGTTCGACATGCCGATTTTACTTAATAAGATGTAGTCAAAGTTAAAAAAGAAAAATCTTTCACTTGAAAGACATCTATCCAAAGCAAATATTAGGAATTCCTTTTAAAGTTAATAATTAACTGACTTGTATCAGTGTAGAATTACATTTGATGTGCAAAAAAAATCGTCACTGTTGTTTACTTTAATGATTGGTTTTTTTGGGGGGAGTGTTGGAATGATAAATTGTTGGGAATACTGAATGACGTGTTCGGTATTTTACTGAAACTCAAAATTGCCCCGTTTATATGGTCTCAAAATGCAAAAGGCGTATTATTAATAGAGTTTTTGGAGTGATGTAAATTGATGGTTAGTTTTAACAATCATAAAGCGCACTTTGGAGATAAGAACTGACTGGGTTCTCATGGTTATGCTCATGACTGTAACAGTTTGTCTCATGTCTCACAAAAACAGATGTTCAGAAAAATGGCACTTTAAAAAAAAAATCATTCATTATCAATCCCATTCATTGTCATATTAATTAGTTTGTAATGGTAAAATAATTTATGGAAGGTACACATTTAATGTGTAGTTAAGTATTGTCACGCCACGGTGTAATTTATTGAATGAATGGCTCATATTTCATTTCTCAAGCTTCCGTATCAACAAAACTGCTGGAGAGTGACAGAGATTGATCGTTTTGCGACACCAACCCGTGCGAAGCCTTTACAGAATAATTAGAAAGTCATATGAAACTGTTCTTTATTGTAAAACAAAACACTTGTCAGTAGTTGCGTAGGCCTACATGGTGTTACAAGAGTTAAGGCACTTTCCTAGGCAATTATCACTCCAATTGTCATTGGAGAGTGTTTTTTTACGTAATTTTGTTCTCTTTCTCTCTTTTGTTATCAGGAATTCGAGTTATGTTTGATTTGTTGGGGGGGGGGGGGGTAAGTTTAAAAGGTTGTGGTTGAGTTCGATTATCAATAATAAGTCAATAATTTGAAGCACGTATTTTGATCATATCAACTTCGGAAGAGTGTTGAGAGTGTAAAACCACTCAATTGGATAATATAACTCAGAGAGTTCTTGTCAAAAACTTTGACAATAAAGTTTTGATATCACCATCCCGATATTTGAGCCTCACTAATCACATTAAATTTTGTTTTATATTTCAATCCCTTCTGCTTTTGGTCAATTATTAGCCTGAGATTTGTAGAGATCGCTGGCTGCTATTGCAGATAGTCATACAAACTGCGATTTGGTTACCAAAATAAATGAATTCTCCGGTATTGTTTTGATGAGACCCTTTTAACATGCCATAGATCAATTGGGGTAATTTTCCTGAAATCTTGTTAGGAGTGGGTCTACATGAAATTCAATTTGATTCCCTAGAGCCTGCGGTTTCCACAATTTATGGATCGCTTTCGGGTGATCAGACGCAAAGTCACTTTGGATTTCTTTATTCCAGATTTCCTTTAAAACCATTGGCATTTACACGTTGACATAATGACACCGTCTGCATTGTGATCCACAGAGTGATGAGGACAATCACTATTGATATCATCCTAATGAAATTAGTTAGATGTGTAGATTCAGTATTATTGCTTCATTAAAAGGCAAAAGTGTCCATCAATGAAATCATTATCAAAACAATTACGTAGCTGCAGCTCTGTAATTGTTTTTACAACGATTTCATCGAAATTAGTATTTGCTCGGTGTTTTTATTCTGGGAACGACTATATAGGATACACGTGGACATTGTTATTTGTTGAAAAATTTAATCAGCCGAATTGGATCGTAAAATTTCTTTCTGTATAAACATGTTGACGAACACTGATTCTGCTAGTCTAATCATGGGTCGCTTCTAGGTCCTTTTCCTGTGAATTTGCTGTTTGTATATTTGACATGGACAGATCTATTACTATAACAGAACGACAGTAATTTCCATTTGTTTACATACACCCTTCGACATGGATGGGGAAAAAAAAGAATTATAACTAAAAAAAAAACTGCTACCTTTAATACAAAATTAGAGACTTGTGGTTTGCACGCCATCAAGGGACATGTAAATTTATTAACGTGCAGATTTGATGTACGCGTAGAGCCTGGTGGTTGCTAATTAGAGCGAGAGTCTGGTTACAGACTGCATTGGCGAATGTTATCACGGATAGATTACCAACGACGACGGTGTCCAGTCTCAAGTCTTCCGGTGGACGTTTTTGATGAGCTCTTCTCACACTGGTCAAGAATTTAGGTCAAGTGTCTGAGGACTCATTCTAAGTCCATATCGGTCTCAGTTACCGAGGTGAACGTCTTGGTACCATACTCTTTACCCCTAACTATCCCCAAGGTGCAGAAGAAAATTCTACGCGAATAGTTTTTTTCCTCCGCGCTCCTTCACTCTCGAATTCACTTCTTGCCGCTTGCTTACCTTTAAAATGTGATTTAAGGAGAAACGAGATGGCCTAAGTGCATACCTTTGGCGAATCTAAGATAGTTTTTGCTCAATCCTTTGGTGGTACTTTGTGCACTCTTAGAGGAGGTTGCTCCCACCACAGTTTCCTTTATGATAAACGAAGTTCTCTAATATATTATTATAAACGGACTTATGACTTTCTTGTTATTTTGAAACATTTCCAACAAAACACAATACTTTTTTCTCTAAGCAAACGAATAACAATCCTGTTCTATCTCCCTTTGTCTCATGTTCTGGAACA